ATTGAGATTTACTTATTTTCTATATAAAAAAATCATGATAAGCTACAATTCTATAAAGCATCATTCACAAATATAGAAGCGAAATTTGACCATTGTAAACTTGTAACATGAAAATGATTTTTCAAGAGTGGTATAATTATTTTCATTATTTTGTATGAAAAAGAATCAAAAAATGAATATAGTAGTTGGAAAGCAAGTAAAAGTGAACACACATACACACATAAAGAATCAAATATATTGAAATAAATTGCAATGTAGCCACTACACAATTAAAGAACAACTCCTTAAGAAATTTAACGAATAGCTACATATTAGAAGCCAGGTAAAAAAATACATGTGATAGAAAAGAGATGAATGTGTGCTTACTATATTGCTTGAAAACATGAGGAGCGTGAAGAAACAAAAAAAAAACACTGTGTTTCAATATAAAATAAGTGTAAAAAGAGTTTTTGTATAACTTTCAAACCAGAAGTGTACTCTTTTTCTTCGGGGGGGGGGGGGGGGGGGGGGGTCAAGAAATGTGAGATCACCTTGAGGATGTTAAATTGTTGAGAGTGTTAGATTAGTGAAAATGTACTCAATTATATTTGTTTGATTAAGATTAAGGAAATATCACATTAATTTATTTGATTGATTGGTACGTAGTGCGAAGTATCTTATATTGCAAAATTGGCGAATTACTTTAAGTGTTTTCCGTAGACAAAATAACTTTAGTACAACCTTAGTTTTATTTAAAGTAAATTAAATTAATGAGAAAAGAAAGGCCTTAATGATAAATAAAATAAAAACTAATTGAATAATTTTTACGCAAATTATGTTAATTGCACAAATGACAAAGACAAATTGTAGATCTTGCAACTAAATCTAAGGAAAGGATTAATGTAGATTAATAAATAAATTTGTTTAATTAAATACACAATGACATACATTAATAAATAAAAGAAAATATACCATTACTTAAAAAGATGTAAAAAACAAGTGAATGCCGCAACTTACAAGTTACAAAACATTTCAATCATCAATGAGTTAACTGTTGGAAAAATATGTTAAAATCGCATTAAATGGTCATTGTGGGGGCAATATTTTGAGTGGGGTCCACTTCCGATTTGGGTCGGGTCAAAGTGGTTTCGATTGTCCTTGCTTAGGGCTACAATTCGATATATGGTACGCTCAAAACGGATAACGGGTGAATGAGAAATTGATTCTCGAAGTTCACTCGTTGAAATAGAGAAAAACTAGGAAAAGGTGGGTTTCTAGTGTGGTTTTTCCCACACCGGAAAACCCAAGGGAATTTGAACCCTTTATAAAGGGAAACCCTCCTTAAGGAGTTAAGATTTGTTAGGGTAAAGGCTCTCTCACACGCGCACGGAGGGTGCGAATCAAATCCCGAAACCGGAGAACAAAAAGTGTGACTTGCGTGCGCCGGCGACCTGCGGACACGAATGCCGTTTGGGAATCTATCTTCTAAAGATAATGTTAATTTTTGTTCTTCTGGTACGTTCCTATTTTATTTTTTGCTCCACGCTGAACTGAAACGTTGCAGCATAAATGCCCATTCTTCCGGTACGTCCATAAATGCCCAACGTTCACGGCCTGTTTTTTGCCGGAATCAATGCCCAACATTTAGGACATTGATGTCTAACGTTCACAAGCCTTAAACAGCCATTAACACACCAAAATCCACCCCTATAAAAGGCTGGTAGATGCTTTGTGAAAATACACAAGTCACAAACGTTCTGCAGTTCTCTTTAGCTCACTGAACTCTCCAACTATCTCTGAAAATTCCTTAGTGTTCACACTGTTGTTCTCGTTCGCTGGAACTATTCGGTTGAGTGCTCAATGAATAGCTCGTAGTCATCGTATCCTGGAAAACGATCGTTGTAACGCTCCTAGCACCCCGGGAGGCAACAAATACGTTTTAAGGAAATCGTGCGTAGCACGAGCTTTGGCTATTTATGCTTCATCTATTTTATGTTTTCATTTAGTCATTTTATTTAATTAATTTTTATTAATTAATTTTCTTTGTTTTTCGAAACACGCCCAACATTAACTATACAACAATGTGTAGACAAAAGTATATTTATAAGATAATATTGACATGGTAATGAAGCTATCACTAACATCTATAAAGATAAAGTTTAGAGATATTATTGTCACTAATGCTTTAGACTACAATTCAAAGTTATAACATGTGCGCAGAAGGATTTTGACAAAAATGGATTTTACATTCTCAGTTCTTTGAAAATTGAATTAGTATCATTGAATGGTGATATCGAATCTGAATGATTTTAATCCTCATGTGATCATTAGGCCAACCTTCATATTTTAGCATATTAAATTTATAGTCACTAATTTAGGATTTTCCAAATAATATACACTAAATTAGGGACACAAGTTTTAACACGTGGAGATATTTTCCTTGATAAGTACTCCCTCCGTCCCGTAAAGAAGTTCCCGTTCGGTTTACGATGATTGACTGACAATAAAGCAACTTGATCCCTGTTCAAACTCGGATTATTTTTAGTAAATAAAATTTACATATTCGGAAACTACATTAAAACCGATACAAAGTTTGACCAAGAAAATTTAAATTTGATAAAAAAATTGATATATAAAGTAAAAGATTAGAAGTGATTCAAGTTGACCAATGAATAGTGAACGAGAACTTCATTTCGGGACTGGCGTAGTATTTGATAGAGTAGTAATGCAAGATAGATAAGTGTGTAGTGTTTATTATGAACTCTTACATAGCTCCAAAGGGTACTATTTTAAGGAATAACGGGCAGCGGTGGTGAGTCAAGGGCGGGGTAGGTTACTAGCGGGACGAGTCACTATCGGCTGGTCACTAGACATAAAAGGGTGTCACTCGAACCGAGTGGGGTATAAAAGTCATAATAGTCACTTTTCTAAAAAGTTTTAAAATTGATCATATTTTTGTCGAAGACTTTTATTTTACTAGTATTGAGATCAAAACTTCTACGACCTACTCTCTTTTAATGACAACTCCATTTTTTTCAAAACACGCATATACTACCTCCGTCCCGTAAAGAAGATCCCACTTTCCTTTTATGGATGTCCCAAAAAGAAGTTTCTATTTCTTTAAAAGGAAACCATTTATCCCAAAAGTCACAACTACCCTTACTTTTTACCCACTTTTTGCTTGATTTGACATAAAGTAAGGGTAAACTTGGAAAGTCAAAACAAAACTCTACCTTACATAAATATGTGTGTAGGTCAAACCGGGAACTTCATTGCGGGAGAGAGGGAGTATAAACTAGGTGAAACCCGTATGACAAGTATTCAGGAAATGAGTAGTTTTTTAATGGAAATAGATAAGTTTTAGCAATTCAAACGATCATTCACCAAATAGTTCAAGATATGACTCGGGCTAACGTCAAAATGACTACTATGTGCAAAACTGGACAACAAAACAAGTGATAGTGCCGCCCTAGCTAGCTTATGGGCTACACGGTTCGCGGTCGTTTACAAAACTGGACAACAACCCTAACTTCAAAGTAAAATGTTTGTCTAATGTCTTCAATAATAATATCAAAATAAGAATTGCCGGCCACTTCCTTGAGCCCTGTCATTACATTTTGGGCATCAGTCTCTATAATAACCCGATCCCATCCTTGTTTTTTTTTTCCAACCTGACTGCTTGCCTCACTCCAATTGCCTTCGTGATCCTTGCCGATCAGTCTGCCGTGTAAGTTTCCCAACCACCTTTGATGAAGTCACCATTATATTCTCTAACAACTCATCCTAAGCTCTTCTCCTAACAAAAGTACTCTATTAATCCTTCTATTGTTATTTTTTGTTATGTGTCTTGCTTTCTTTACTTCGTCTTATCTGATCTAGAATTTCATTCCATTAGATCGAATCATGGTGTCCTTTACTGAGTTTATACTCTCTTCTTCAGGTTTAACTTGTATGCTTATTATAGATCTTTGTCAATGTCAAATACTTTTTACAAAATTGGATTTGTTGAATCTCATCTAGGACAACACAGTAGTAACTGACATTTTGTTTCAAGTGTGTTGAAAAAAAAATCGAAAATGGTTGTTTGTTCCAACTCAATTGGATGTATAACGCTCTTGCACTGGTTCAATTAAAAGCTCACTTCTTTTCAAGCTACTTCAAGTGCATTGGTCAATATTTCATTTGGTCTTTAGAGACTTCTAGCAACTTAGGTATTACAAGCATGCTCCAAACAGTCAATTATTTATTATAATTTTAGGCATATGGCAGCATAAAGAAATGCCAATTTGGATTAATTTGGATTGTCTACATTTCTCTAAGCAATGTTTTTTTTTAAATCTTCTCTAAGCAATGTTTATATTTCCTCATTATGGATTTCCCAAGCATTCTATAAAGTGCAGACTATTATGTGTATTACATTATATATAAAAAGTAAACGCCTCATTTTAATAAATCTACTGAATTTTGAAGTGCGGGGACTTATTTTTAGTGTTTCCAAAATACATGCATGCCTATTTATGTAGACATTACTCATCTCTTATTTGCAATATTGGATCTTTGTTGTAAGTCATAGGAAGCCTTGATTCAAGTGGCTTTCATATATGCTTTAGCAAAGTTGCACTTTTGGTTCATTGCTTTACTGTGAAAAATTACAATATATGCTTCAAATTTTTGTAGAAATGACGGGAATTCAGAACAATGTGAAATTGATTATCTCACTTACCCAATGAAATCTTTTCTTGAATATGTTATTTTCATGAATACACACGGAGTCATTAAAAAGACATCGCTTTATTAGAAGTGAGGCAGCAACCTTGAAATTTCGGGAAAAAAAATTCTTTGTTATCTCATCTCTGCATTTGGAGCTTTAAATATTATAAGCATTGTATTTGTATAGAAGTGTGAGCTTAGTTTTGGATCCTCTAGGTTTACATAACCTCGTTTGCATTGTAACATTAGGAAGTTCCTAATATGAGTTTCAGATTCTCTACTCAAGACAAAAAGTTACAAATGTCCTCTATCTGGAATTACAAATAATTGACTTTTAACTATCTGAAATGCAAAAATAACAAAAATAGGGTTATGTTAACCTCTAGCCTAAATAAGCTCTAATTTTATCGTGCCCTATAATGTCTTGTTGCTTAGCTATAAATATGGCCAATTAGTATGCATTTTTTGAGCTAGCGGCTTATTGACATACATGGGATCAATATGTTACAACACTACAAGTAGCAATTTTACAAGGCTATGGGAGCTCAGAATCTGACATATGACCAGACATCCTCCGCTCTCTTGGGCTCATAACCACCAATTGACTTTCAGAGCCCATCCTCTTAGGACGTCCGTGTCTACTCATATGTGGAAGCATGACTGGAGTTACGGACCGTCCCCTCGGTGTTCCTATAATGTTCGAACCATAGGCATAGTGTTAATATTGAAATCACGTAGGCATGCAAATAGTGTAATGTTATAAAGCACATAAACTTTTGGGGTAAAGTATGATTTCATTTAAGAAATTGTTTAAAAAACTCTTCAAACACATGTTTTTATATTAAACGATGGTGTTTCCCATTTTGTGTTTTCCCATGTTTCCCACATTTCCATGTGACATAGTTTGAATTAATACAAGAGGTATAGACTCTATTAGGAGCACTTGTTCTAAGATCTAGTATATATATATATATATATATATATATATTTGAACCTAAATATATGTGATGCAATGGAATATATATTGATGTTATAATTTCCAATGATTAAATAAAATGGAAATAACATACAATAAGCTCAGTAAATAATTGTCAATCTTGAGCATAACCGCCCAACATTAAAAGGAGTAGAATCAAGGATAGATGGGTCAATGTTTTCATGATGACAGTCTTTATAAGATTTCTTAGTTCTATATCCTATTTAGGAATTGTAATGGCAAAGTAAGAAGAATATCGTGACACTTCAAAATTGGACAATAAAAGAGAAATTATAAAATCTTCACTTGATGTATCTAGTTTTCTAAACTTACCGGGTTGTTTGATTGATTTGATGTCTAAAGATTTCTTTGATATCGAAAGCTTCTTGCTCAAAACATTTGGAGAACCAAGAGACTTTCTTTCTATAGGTGATGGGGGTGGTTCGTCTGCAATCACAATTTCATCTCCACAAGCTGAAGCATTATCACTTTCGGACTCAGAATTATTCTCCCTTTGAATTGCTGTTGATTTTTCTCTCTCTGCCACTTTATACATGAACATTTGAAAAGGAATATGTGTCACATACAAAGGAATTTGTGCCTTTTTATTTGTAAAGAAAGTGTCGCCATAGTCTAACAATAGTGGCATTGGTGAATCCGGATGTGTGTGTTCTGGATTCAGAACTATAAACCGTTTTATATAGCGAAGAATCCTACAGATAGATGAGAATCTTGGTCGTTGGTTTGGATCATCATGCCAGCACTTCTTAGTTAAGCTTGTCAGATACTTTGGCAAAGGAAACGGAAATAGAGGCCTCTCACCCACCCTTATATTTCGACTCATTTTTTCTCCTTGGAGATGTCCATCCTCAAATGGGACTTTTCCAGTCAACACCTCAAAGCAAATCATCCCAAAACTATATACATCAGACTTCTCTGAATACTCTTCTGGTTCGGCTAATACTTCTGGTGCGTGCCATATATAATTAGGCGAGTTTTGTTGATTCACATGCATTTTCCGAGTGTGACTAGCACCAAATCCAGAAACTTTGGCATGCAAGTAACCTTCTGTGGACGTACTTCTGGCTTTGACAAGGACATTAAATGGATTTAAGTTCCCATGATGAATCTTCATAGAGTGAAGATATTCCATACCCCTGGCAACCTGAAGCATCAGGTCAACTGCAGTGGGGAGAGAGAATGGGACTCGCTTCTTCGGACCACAAATCTCTTTAATGTAACTGGATAGATCTTTATTCATGAGATCCATGATAAGGAAACACTCTTTCTTCTCTTCATCCGTGAAGGCACAAAGTATGTGCATTATGTTTGGGTGAGAGAGAGTTAGTTCATGAGAAATGTCTGAGATGAGCGGCTCAATGTCACCAAAAAAGTGTCTCAAACAGAAGCTCTCACCCAACCACTGAACTTCCTTATATTGGTTATCCATTTCCAACCGCCGCCTGACGTGATAGTCTTTGGACCTGACTAAAACCGAGCAAGGCATTAGTCTATCGGGTAATAACGGGTCTGAAGGAGTGTTTAAGTTCCTCATGAGGAGATCAACAAGTCCCTGGTTTTGCTTTGATGATATTTTCTTCTCTTCGATTTTGTTTTTCAGGATCCATCTATCCTCATTCCAAACTGACTTTATCCGGTTGCAAAAATCCGGAGAAACCAGGTATTGAGTCCCGTATCTCCAATTAAAAATTCTTTGATCCTTACATTCCTTTAGATACTTCAATGCGTAAACGGCTCTCTTCTTTTGAATCTCTTCATGGTCTAAACTGGACACTTCTCCTGCCATCTCAATGGCCTCAATCACGACGGATATGCAACTGAGAAGGTTGTGGATGTGGAGTTCTACACAATCTGTGTTCTGGTAAAGTGTTATGGCTTTTGCCCAAAAATCTTTCGTCTCCAAACAATATCTTACATACATTTCGCCTTCTTTAAATACTCGGAGGAGCTCTCTCAATGGGGTTTCAATGACTTTCCACTTGAAACTCTTATCTTCATATCTCAAATTATGTTTCATTAACTCTGCTGTATTGTTATATGCAGAATTAAGCATGTCTACTAACAAATAGCATTGTCGCTGATTCAATTGTATGCAATCTTGGAAAACCATCAATGCCTTGATGCTCCCTAATGCCTCCCCGATCTGCCTAAATTGGTCCATCCTGAAAATCAATTATCTAGAAGGAGGAATAACATGGAATTAATTTGTCTGTTTTATATCCATTAAGATTATTATGTTATATAAATAAACACAATGCGGAAAAATCTTACCAAGAAATAATGATGACCAGATTTCCAGAAACATGAGGAGTTTATGTTCCCCTCCACGTGATGCAGAGCCCCAGATCAAGAAGGATCAAAGAAATATTAAAATTACCTTTCTTTCTTTTCTGAAAATGCAGGCCTGATAAAAAAGTGGCATGAAGGGCATGCACAATTTCTTCAACTACAATGTGATAAACATCTTGTAACAACTCCCAATTGAAAATGAGTTTCTAGAAACTTTGATTTAGAATTCATTGATGATCAGGATTAAAATTTCTCCCAAGATTGTAGTTTGGTCTTGAAATTTCGGAAAACTTTTTAAAATCATGTGATGCGGTTAAGTAAATAAAAAATGAAACTCTAGGAAGTATATTTTGGGTCACCCCAAAATGAAACTTTTTAGCATCACCCCAAATATAAATGATATTTTTTAAATATAAAAAATTGTCTTGTTCCTTTTCAAAATTAAAGAAAGCAACAAGTAGAAAGCTAAAAAAAGAGAAGCTAAATTATTTCATAATTCGATGTGACAAAAGTGTTTGCTTAACAAAAACATACAAGAAACAAAAAAAAAATCATATTATATTTGATTCAATAAAAATAATAAATCTTTATCATATATGTTACGAAGTATGTTCTAAAAAAATGATTAAAAAATCAGTTGGGTGATGATTTGGCGGTCCTTAAATAATATGTTACTACTCCAACTAATTTTCTCCGCTTTGTCATAAAATCAACTTTTGATCGATAATTATTCTATTTCTATTAAAATAATATTAATATTCCTACACTAAAAAATAAGTTTAAATTTATATTACTACATAACAATTTTAAAGATTATACAACACAATCTCTTGTTTTATTCAAATATTTCTATTAGTTGTCTTACTATTTATAATTTTACTCCAATAATATAGCCTATAATAACTGTACGAGCAATTTCTATTGTCAATATATTATAGTGCAATTAATAAATAATATTAAAAATAAAAATAGTATAGAATAATACCCAAGCGCTTTACGTGACACATAGGCGAGCTAGGCGCTACACAATGTGTTGCCATACACTCATTGCTTGCTTATGGTGTATGGAGTTGCTAGCTGGTTTAGCGATGTCAATAATTTGTAGAGCTTCCATTGTGTAGATTGTTTGACATTATTTCAATGTGAAAAAAATAAAAACCCAAACGGCGGCCAAATTAATGCCTACATGCCTAGTTAAAAAAAGTTTTGGTACAAAATGAGTTAATTGGTTGATATTAAATATAAAATGTTTTAACTGGAAAAAAGAAGCAAACGAACATGTTCAAACTTCACTGTGAATTTGTGTTTTGAACAACAACTAGTAATTTTATACAAAACATAATTCACTGCATCATCAAATTAAGGTTAAAATATTTTGTAATAATAAATTATTTTGAGTAGAATGGAGTACAAAACTAAAAACTTTCATGTGGCAGAAATATTTTAGGTTTGGATTTTTACTAAAAAGTAAAAATCGAAAGATGTTGACTTCCTCAATATATTTTAGAATAAATTATTTCCTAATTTATGTTGTTTTCAACTGAATTGAATTTTTCTAGTCTTCTACGGCATATAATTTAGTTTGGTCTAATCTATTTAAATTCTGTCCGATCTTTTAAATGTCTATTTATGTATGCTTTGTAACTATCAAAATATGGTGTTGTCTGATCTCGTTAGGTCAATTAAAAACGTTCCTAATCTAAAGATTATTTTGCCAAATTCGCATTTGATCCACACATTAACTATACCCCCTTGATATGTGATTATTCTTTTATGCTAATTTGTGATCCATTCATCTACATTATTCATGTTAATTGAAAAAAACTACTAATATGGTCAAAAAAATTGCATGTGAACAAGAAGTTATAATCATGTGTCTAAAAGAAAAAAGTAGAAGTCAAGACTCGAGCAAATATAAGATTATTAATCAAAGATTTGGGAAAATTACCATCACCCCATTGAAGTTTGGTTATACTTACTAATTTCACCTTCCATTTTTAAGGTCAACTAATTACTCTTCAAGTTTTGGTTAGTCTCATTGTTACTTTTTTGTCAACATTAATCTCGTTTGACATCATATTATTTTTAAATTTAATGGAAGTAGTACTCCGTATAAAATATACGGAGTAAACCATTAGAATTCGAAGTAATTCAACAATTTGACTCCACTAGAAACAAATAAGAAATTACGAGCAATCATTCTGAGCAATCATTACGACTAATAATCATGAAAATGAACTGTTTAGACTTTCATAATTACACACACATATATTGTACAACAAAATTCATTGAATTTGAGAATTATACTCCGTATTAAATATAATTAGATAGTAAATAGAATTTTGAAAATGCAAAGTTAAACAAGTAATTTGACCAAACCTAGGTCTTGTTTGGTAATTGGTTTATAAACCATTTTTGCTGGTTTGATCATATTTAGTTTATTTGTTTTTTTTACTAGCCGAAACATATGTTTGGTAAACAAATTTTTAGAACATCTTCTTTTTACTCCAAAACGCTAATTTGGACACATTGCTATGTGTACTGGCAGATCTTGAACATTAATTTAGAAGGTTCAATTTTATTTTATAAATTTTGGGTGCTCATATACATATATAAATTTTAACACTACACTCATATACATGTATTTTTACGCTACAAGTTAAAAATTTTGAGGGTTCACATGAAAACTTTTGAACAAGTATAGGTCGCCCCCGACCATGTGCAACATTTCGGTATATATTGTCCACTTTATCACTATGCAAATTAAATTAAAGTCTCAACTCCTACGTCTTACATTTTTTCTTTTAGTTATTATAACTATATAATTTTTTTTATGAAATATTATAACTATATAATTCAGAAGTTGATTATAAATCAATTTGGAAAATAAATGAATAAATAAATAAATAAATGAATGAATGAATAAATAAATAAATAAATAAATAAATAAATAAATAAATAAATAAATAAATAAATAAATAAATAAATAAATAAATAAATAAATAAATAAATAAATAAATAAATAAATAAATAAATAAATAAATAAATAAATAAATAAATAAATAAATAAATAAATAAATAAATAAATAAATAAATAAATAAATAAATAAATAAATAAATAAATAAATAAATAAATAAATAAATAAATAAATAAATAAATAAATAAATAAATAAATAAATAAATAAATAAATAAATAAATAAGGAGTAACTAAATAAATAAGTGAGCAAGCAAGCAAGTAAGTCACTAAGTACATAAGTTTAATTTTGACATTCTAACAAATAATTATAAACATTTGATTTTATGATGTTTTTACGTTTTCAGTTCTTGACTAGACCAGACCAGAATTAAACAGGCCAGATCAAATCAGACGTCCATAGTTATATAATGCGCAGAGACCAGACATTTACCAGACCAGATCAGACTAGACATATCAGACTCAAGCAGATCAGACCATACCAACAAATTTCAGTCCAAGTAAAAACATTCATAAAGAGTATAGCTGGTCAATACCGCTAAATCAACCAACTGATCAAAATCGTTAATACAATCGGCTAATCGCTAAAGCTAACAGCTAATTACCACACATGGATGATACGGAGTAACAATTTTCTCTAGGGATGTCAAAAAAACCCGACCCACAATGACCCGCTCTGGCCCAAGACATTTGGGGTAAGTCTGCCCCGTCTTGCAAATGGGCGCGGTCCGGTTCGGTCCGGTATTTGACAAAACCGGTACCCGGACTGTTACTTTTGAAACGGTTCGGTTCGGTTCGGTTTTAGACCCAAACCCGTTCGGTACGGTTCCAATTTCAAACGGTACGGTACCATGTCATACCAATACCAAACAATGCCACTTTTTTGACAAAATAAAGTTTAGTCATAATTCAAAAATCTACACAAATTTTCGACAAATGTAAGACTTTTGGGCAAGCGGGTTTGAGTCAGCAAACTGTTTGACTTTTGAGTATTTTTTAGATGGGCTAAACATATAAATACGGAGTAAAAAGTAAGACAAATTGGGTTGGGCTTCACCCTATGAAGATCTTCCCCTGTAGGCACATACAACGAATTAGTAAATATTATAAATTATAAATGTATACAAAGTGGCAAAGTGTAATCTGGAAGGAGTCATCAAATTATATACATATACAATAATTATAAATTACTCCCTCCGGTTCTTAATTAAGTTCCTGGTTTGACTTCACACATATTAAGAAATATATTTGACTTTACTGGGGAGTGCACTGTTTGAACACTGTTTGGCACTGTTTTGGTGTAAATCATTTGCCAAATAAGGAAAAGTTTGAAGTAGGAACTTTAATATGAACCATCCCAAAAAGGAAAGTAGGAACTTAATTACGGGACCGAGGGAGTATTAATTATATAAATACTAATTCGGTCCGGTTCGAGACAAAAATTTTGAGAACCATTTGGAACCCCGTTATTCGGTACGGTACCATATCGGCCCGGTTCGGTAGCATGCCGGTTCGGTATTTTTGCCCACCCCTAGTAGATTCAATGGGTAACAACTTCCCACAGATAAAAATACATACTAGCAAATTAGGTTACGACGGTGCGAGACGGGGCGGACCCACCCCGCATGGGGCGGGTCATAGGTCAACAAGTTTGGACCCGTGCAAGTCACGGGCGGGGCCGACCCGCCCCGCCAAGTCACGGGGCGGGTCCGGGTCTTGCAGTATCCGCCCTGCCCCGACCCATTGTCATGCCTAATTTTCTCTAGAGAAAAGGGGCAAATCCCCCCCTAAACTTATACCTAAAGGGTATCTAAGCCCCTAAACAAAATTTTGGAGCAAAAAGACCCCGTCTCCACTAAAGAGGGCATATCCCCCCTTCACTAACGGTTAACACGCACTAAAAGAGGGCATACCCCGTTTCCACTAAATCACATCCAAATATTATTTTTTTTGTGTGACCAAATATCTTATTAAATTAAATAACTAAATGTCGAATTAATTTTTGATATTTTAATTGGATTGAATTTTTTTGATCTGATGTTATTTGGTCTGATCAATTTTTGTATGATCTGGTCTGATCTGTTTTACAAGTTTTTACTTAGACTTATTTCAGTCTTAGACAAAATTACAACTTTTTAGTGAAACTGTGACATTATGTGATGAATGTTTTTATCTTTATGCCGCACTAGTATTACCCTTATGACTTTTATGATTAGTTATGTGTTTTTAGTAATTGTGTGATGAATGTTTTGAAACTTTATGCCGCACTAGTAATATTTTGAATGACTATGACTAATATGCATTTTTGGCATAAGTATAC